TTTGGACTTCGCAGCCGTTCTCCGGCTTGCGGTCTATCGCCACATAATGTGGAAGCCCGTGCTCAATCCAGTGCCCGCTCTGCCCATACCACCGGCTCATGCTCTCGTCAACGCAGATGAGGTCGGACGGCACGAAGTTTGCGGCCCGATGGTGGTTGATGGCCTCAACGAAGTCATCAACTAGTCTCCAGCGGTGCTTCTCGGACAGCTCATCCGCTGTGCGCTCGCCCTGCTGGCTGAACACCAGGGAGGACCAGATGTCCTCAAACCTGTTGCGGGGCATGCCAGTCGTGCTGCCAAAGCATGGAGCGGAGAGCAAGCGGTTCCTCGCATTGACAGCCCACAGCTCCCTCCGCTTCCCGAAGGAGTATCTTGTTCCCAAGATGAGAATCCCAAATAATTTCAGCAGCTCCCCTGTACTCACCGCCTGCTTCCCTTTGTCCTGCAGCACCTCCGACGTCCACTGCACTATCTTGAGCAGATGGGGGTGCGGCAGTGCCGCCATAAAAAAGTCGAGTGGGCGCCGCGTCGACGAGGATCCGGAGTCACCGCCTTCAACAATTGATTGCCCTCCTACGCTTCTCATTTCCCAACTTCGACGCGGCACCGCGCCCCCAACCGGCTCTAAAACCTCTTTCTGACGCCACAATACTCCATGCGCGTCGTAGGTGGTCTGGGTTTGCAGTGGCGGCTCTGGAGTGGGTGATTCGTTTTGCTCAGGGGTACTGTAAGCACCACTGCCCGTCTGCCCAGCGCTTCGCCCTTGCTCAGCTTGACGGGGCGCAGGGTTCGCTGGGCTGCTCTGATGCTGCTGCTGCGGTGCGGGAGTGACCAGGAGAGGATCCCCGAGCGTGACACTGCGCACACTGATGCGCCTGTCCCGCTGACCGGCCAGAGAATCCCATCTCACTTTGAGGAAGATGCTCACCCTCCCTTTTCCGGCCTTCTTTTCCACCCTCAGCACCCCCCCTGACACCAGGGTCTCCTTGTAAAGAGACCCGTAGAATCGTTTAGACTCCGCTTCTCCCAAGGCAAGGTACGCCCTGGCGTGTACTCGCGCCCCAATCTGCTGTTTTGCCAGAGACGACATGGTCGAGCGCAGCGTGACCTTGAGCTTGGCGTGGTGGCCCTTTTTGCCAGTGGAGGTTATGATAGCTCGATGTAAAAGGCGCCCATCGCCTCCAAGCTAATAAAAAGGGCGCTGAATCGATTACCGGTGTCCATTTGCTCTCAAATCCAGCCGTTTACCGTCCAGCATGGTGCTGGAAAAGGATTAATTAATCCTGGTGGGATAATAGACACTAGGGGCACGGAGGTTGGGGTTCGACGGTCGAGGAGGCGAAGGGCCTCACGGCGTAGGCGGCATGCAACACCAGCGGCGGCGAAACAGTCGAGTGTGGAAGCGGTAGGAGGTAGGGGAGCAGAGTGGATGGTTAGGTCTGCATAGATGAGGCGGAGGTTTGCGAGGATGCGGGCGAAGAGAGTAGTGTGGGATTCTAGAAAGTAGACGTATGTCAACCGGCCACTCCGGGGACAAGGACGTGGGGAGGGAGAACGGCACCAGCAAGGTGGGCGCCACGGCGCACAGCAGATTGCCCAGCAGTGAAGGAAGCGAAGGCTGCGACGTTGGCATCTGGAGCGATGGCGTAGGCGGTGACGGCGGGGGGAGGAGCAACAGGCTCTCCAGTACGAGGGTCGAGACGAAGCGGTTTGCCCACGGTGCGGACGAGGGAGTGGGCCGCGGCGAGCGTTGCACTCGAGACTGAAGTAGGTGCGGCTAGTGCCGCACGGGCAGCCTCGAGAGTCAGGATAGAGGAAGAATCGGGGCGGGCTGGGACACGTGGCAGCTGGAGGGGGCGAGCCACGGCAAAGGGAGAAGTGGAGGGTAAGGTCGAAGACGACTTGAATTGAACGGAGGTGATAGGCAGGGCGGCGCTCGCCGCATATGCAGGGACAGAAGGGGGGGTAGGACGGGGAGAATCACGGGGTCGTGCAGCGGCAACAGTCACCCACACACACACACACACACACACGCGATGACGAAGAAGAAGAAGACATCGTTGTCCGTCGAGTTCCCTCCGTCGCCGCACCCGCCTCCTCCGCTTCACGCCAACGCGCTCGCGCCCTGCGCGGACGGGTACGGCGGAAGCACTCGGCTACGTTCCTTTCCTTACAGCTCTGTTCGATATCGCTACTACATACACTGTGCACATCCCTCCCCACCTGTCTCCTGGCCAGGGGGCACTCCCTTTTACCTCAGGTTATGGTCCCGTGGCGCATCCTGCTGCGCACCGATGCTCAACACAAGTGATCGCGAGTTAAACTTTCAACGCTTTCCAAGATTTTCAACTTTACGGCGACTGTCAAGCACCCTCCTTACAGCACGCTTCAACACCAAGGCCTCTGCTACTCAAGCACCCCCCTTACACCACGCTCCAACACCAAGGCCTCTTCTGCTCATCATCTCCAAGCACGCTCAAACACCACGGCCTCTGCTTCCTCAACACTTTTCCCGCTTCCATTCACCTCACTACACGTCAGATCGCGGCGACTGTTGGATATCGCTATAGCTCATCCTTTCTACGATCTTCCGCTACGTTCCTTTCCTTACAGCTCTGTCCGATATTGCTACTACATATACTGTGCACATACCTCCCCACCTGTCTCCTGGCCAGGGGGCACTCCCTTTTACCACAGAGACAGAAACAAAGAGAATGGGTGGGCTGGAAGCAGTTTTAATTTTAATATTCATAAAACGTGTTTCAATTTGAGCCATTGGGGAAGGGTACCATAGAAAAATTGAAACCGTGGCCAGCATAGTTGAAAAGAAATAACATTCGCGAATTTGTATGTTATGATAACGCTTGGTCGGATAGACACTAGTAAACACGTACCGTAAGCCCCTCCAACTTTTTTACTCAAGATGCCGGATGCGTTGAGCCAACACTGGACAAAGAATGTAGCCGCGTGAAGACGTTTCCTCTTCTGCGGTACAGAGAGCTGGAGTCGGAAAGATATGAAGCCTTGAAATATTTTGCTGAATTATTCCAAACGTTTCAGAGATGTTCATTCCTCGCAACCAAAAGGTGGTTGGTTAGGGTGACCCCACCGCGCCTTGCCCAAAATCGCAAAAAGCAGACAGTTGTCCTCCGGTAATTGGATCTACTATCTTTTAATCAAGCCGCGCTTTGGGGGAGGTGGTGATTCAGAGATGACCCCCACCGCGCCTGTAACACAATACATCTATTCATATTCAGGGTCACCCCAATTAGGCTACAAGTATGTCGTAGAAATACATTTGGCGCAAAGAAGCAAGCTACTGCACGCGTCTGTTCCACAATTAGCGGCAACTTTTGCTCGTCACTTGCCCGCTCTCCATAATATGTAGGCTCCTGTTTGGGAATTATCAACTCGGCAAGTACACCACGCTTTCAATTCTAATTATGGACTCTGGAACCGATTCCGATGATGCCATCGCGGCATATTTCATGCTTTCTCTATCTGCTGCTGCTGTCGCTGGCGCTCTGGTCGCTCGGCAGCACAGAGAGCGCATGCGATCCGGAGGTAAGTTTGGAGGATCAAGAATGGGAAAGGCGATGAACAGAGATCGCCACCGCCATCGCTTTGAAAGGCAAACAAATGAAGACTGGTTTTTGTCGCGGGATAGTGCAGGAAGCAGGTCTCTCTTCACTGCAGAAGAGTTTCGTGGCACTCATCGCGTTTCTATGGATATATACGAGCACATTCGCGCGGTGCTGCCAGAGGTTGATCCATGGTTTGCACAGAAGGCTGACGCGGTGGGCAAGCAGGGAACGTCTACAGATCAGAAGCTCATCGCAGCCCTGCGCATGCTAGCAAGCGGCAACAGCGCGAAAAGCGAAATACCGCTTATGAGGTTGGCGGAATCAACTCTTCTAGAAAACTTATAACGGTTTTCTGCCGCGATTGTGAAGGGGTTTGGAAAAGAGTATCTGCGCCTTCCAACTACGGATGAAATTATAAAAATAGAAGCAGAGTATGCTGCTATGGGGTTTCCAGGCGCTATAGGTTGCGTCGATTGTGCAAGCTGGACTTGGGACGGATGTCCTGTTGCTTGGCAGGGACGACACAAGGGCAAGGAACGCAAAACCCTCAATCGTATGGAGGTAGTATGCGACGATTATCTTCGTATTTGACACGTGAATTGTGGAGCACCCGGGGCGAAGAACGACATTCAGATAATGAACGCCTCCCCATTGTTTAACAATTTAAGATCCGGAAAGTGGCCGCCGACACGCCTGAAACAGACGTTGGCGGATTTAAATTGAAATGGTACTACTTCCTCGCTGATAGTATTTATCCTAGGTTCCGATTTTTCGTGTCCACGATTCCACGACCACGATCAAAGAAAGAGAAGATGTTTGCCAAGCAGCAAGAGGGAGCTCGCAAAGCTGTCGAAAGGGTTTTTGGAGTTTTATTCAAGCGGTAGCAAATATTGTACCGACCAAATCGGCTGTGGCGAAAAAGTGATATGAACAATATAGTTTTAGCATGTGTCGCGATCCATAATGTGGTAGTGGAGGAACGCCGAGAGCAATACAAGAGTACGGAAAAGGCCCGCCTGACCGAGGACGAGACTGGCCTGCCTACGGAAGTCCACCTGAATTGGAGGCCGACAGACCGCGCCGAGGCAGCAGCTTACTGGCGCGAGTTTGTAGATGGCTGGGAAGACGTAAACCAACACCTGCAGCTGAAGAAGGCATTGGCGAATCACATGTGGAAGGCGAGAGGGGAAGTCTGCCATGTGAGCGATGGGGATGATTTTACACGCGAAGAAGACTATATCGGAGGCAACGACTCTACTGCAGGCGATGATGAGAATGGTAGTGATGGTGAGATTTTCTCGCCATCACCATCACGACCATTTTAATCATCTTGTGTTCCACTCTTGCATGCCCTTTTCAAATACCACACCCTTTTGCTCCTCGTCAAGGCCCTCATTGGCGTCGTCTCAAATTCCGATGGCGTCATGGAGATTTGGCCCCCGGCTGCCTCACCACTTTTATGAGCGCCTTGGGTACAGACATGGAGCAAGCAGCTATCGAGGAGGGCGCTCAGTTGCTCGAGCTTAGCGGCTGGACCGAGGGCAAGCATGCTGTCACCAATCCCGACGGCTATTTACAAGAATGCGACCAAACTCCCCCACGCGGCGATACCTTTCTCTCCAATTTCGTCATGCTCAGACATCTCCCCGCCGCCATCTCTTTCGACATCGCCGCCACCAAGAAGATCCCAAAGAGCTGGCCCGCTATCGGCGACTATCTTTCCCAGCAAGTCGGCCATTCCTTCCCCGTACTTGCTTTGTTGAACCACTCGAGGGCCGTCAGGGCTATTGCCGGCTGTATTTGCCTCAACTTGGACGCCATCGTTTGCGGCATCGAGTCCGACGCCAAGTACCTCATGGGCATAGTCTTCGCCGGCGTTAATCGCAACAGGCTCATGGCCAAGGAGTTCCGCAAGATGACCAAGCTCATGGTTGATTACTACGACGAGGACTGCATCAACGCCGTCTACGAGTTTTCCAAGGAGGACACCGATTTCTCAGTCGATTTCATGGACGCCCTCACCGACTCGGCCTTGAGGGACACTCCCTTGTCCGAGATGCAGGTCCGCATGCTATACATCGCAAAGGCCAGTTCATATGCCCCCACGAGGACAACCCAGGCCGTCGTCGACTCTACAAAGGCCCCGTGCTTCAAAATATAAAATGCAGTAGAGGATAGATCTGCATGCTTTTTCCACAGCACATCTTTCCTCGCCCCGCAATCTACACCTTGATCTTCACTATCCCTCCCATATGCCTGCATCGCCGCAACAAACTCGCGTCGGATGGGTCGGCACCGGCGTCATGGGGTGCGCCATGGCTAGTCCTTTGATGACTGCCGGATACCCCTTAAGTGGAGCGGGTGGAACCGGCAGCAGAGTAGCTGGCGCGGCTCGTCGACCGGGAGCAAGCGGGCATGGAATACGGGGCGACCGTCGAGCTTTGGCCAGGCGGACTTTTACGCGGTGCTGGGGATCGAGTACGGGGCTAGCCGTGTTGATGTGTAATGGGCGCGCGCTCGCTGCTATACGTTGCGCTATCGTACATGAGGTGCTGAATTGTGCTTCGTAAGACCATACTGATGTGCCATATCGTGGTAGCCCCTGAATTGGTGCTATTGAGCGGAGTGATGTGTCCGCTAAGTGACTTAATATCTAGTATTTTGATGTTGTCCTTCTTTCGTACTGTGTGTTTGTGTTTCAGGATCTGCGCCTACCATGTTGTCGTCCTGCACACTGATTTGTACTTTGGCTTTCGGTAGGTTTACCATCGTACTCTTAGTCTACATAAGTTCTACCTTGATCGACTCAAGTAAAGTCCGGTCTATGGTGTTACCAGACCCCATCGACGAACTTCTCCCGACTTACATCCATTCATTCACCCCCTGCAAAGGGTTATGAGCCCAGCCCACGCTCGCTCTCTTACCCTTCTTATCTTTTTGGTGCTATTTTACGCCGTTTGTGCTCTCTGCAGCGACAGCTTGCATTGAGTTTTTCACACCACGCCGTGCGACTACAGGACGTGCGTTAAAAGTACGTTTATTAATTCTACGGAAGCGTTCGAGTTACTGCTATGGAAGATAGCAAAAAGGTTTACAGGTACTATGGGAAGCCCGGTGAGGACTTCCATCTGTGGGAGGCGAGGACCGAGGCGGCACTTGAAGCCAAGGAAGTGCTTCATGTGATTCAGTCGGATGTATTGGGAGCCGGAGCCGAGCTGACGGAAGAGCTGAAGAAGAATGTGGCGACTGCACGCGCAATCCTGATCCAGGGAATGGGTGATCGACCCCTGCGCTTGTGCTTGAGTGCCAAGGACAATCCATACCGCATGTGGGTACGTCTTCGAGAACGCTATGCAGTATCGAACACTGCAACCAAGGTCCAGCTCCAGTCCAAGCTTGCGCACATGAGCTACTGTGGGCAGCCCATGCAAGATTAAATCGACTCCTTTGAAGAGATCTTCAATCGCCTTGCGGCTATGAAGAGTGACATTGGAGAGGACTTGCAGGTGGCTATGGTTCTTGCCTCTTTCGGTGATAAGAACAAGTCACCGTTTGGACACGTGATTGCTTCATTACAGACAATCCAAGAGAAGTTAGATTGGCAGACAGCGACAGCCAGTCTATTGCAGGAGTACGAGGAACATCTCCTGAGGTCTGGGGACCCGAAGGCAGTTCGTTCTGGGGATGAAGGTCAAGCCTTGGCGGCAACAGGAAGTTCAAATACTACATACGTTGGAAGGAGGAACTACGGCGGTAAAGCAGAGAAACGTCGATGCTTTGAGTGCGGTAAGGTTGAACATCTTGCACGCAACTGTCGTTTATTGGATGGAAAGACTCGAAGGAATGTTTCCTTCGCTGGTGAAACGGGAGAACGCCTGGAGAGCGAAATTGGAAGAGCGCAGCAAGCTCAATTGCTCTTGGCACGTCAAGATGAATCCAAGAATGACGAAGGCATGGATGATGTGTCAAACGGTCAGGAAACCGTCCCAAATCTGTCAGAGCTGAATAATAGAGACCAGGAGCACGCTGAGCGGATTAGCTTTGATGACATGGCGACAGAATGCCCCTTAGGCTCTACTAGCAAACACACGAAAGTTATGAGCTGTCCAGCAGACGAGATCGCATCCTTGGGAGTTCAAGATGATGAGCACGTATATCTATTGGACTCAGGGGCGTCCACCCACATGGTGTCCTGTAGGGAATGGATCCGTGACTGTCAGCCGATTGCTCGTCGGGGGATTATCATTGGCGACGGAAACAGGGTCTTTGCTACCCATAGCGGCACAGTTACTCTACGTACAACTGTTAGCGGTCCCCGAGACAAATACGAACGTTTCCCAGTCCTTGATGGGGTACTGTACGTTCCTCAGCTGCAATCCAATCTCATTTCTTGCTCGGAGCTTTGTGCTCATGGTTACATCATCAACTTTGGGCGTGACAAATGTAATGGAACGCACGACGGTGTGACGCAGTTTCAAGGTCACCGTTATCAAGGCGTATACAGAGTTTCCGCAAAAGTTGTGTACCCAGGATACTCATCGGCGTCAGTCGCTTTGTCCCATTGGCCATGGGATGACGACAACGATGACAGCCCTCAAGGAGGTTCGTCGGGATCTGGAAGTTCTGCAATGAGGCTTTGGCATGCCAGACTTGGTCATGCGAGCAATGCAAGTATCAAACAGTTGCTAAGGAGCGGGGGTGTGTCTGGAATGAGTCTAACGTTGCAGGGAAACAAGAAGGCCTCCTGTGGTAGTTGCATGAAGGGTAAACAGACTCGCCAGACTCTGTGTCCCAACAAATCGCGTTCGAAAAAGCGTGGTGCAGTCATACACACAGATGTGTGTGGACCAATGTCGGTGGCATCTTTTTCAGGTGCGCGCTACTTTGTTTCTTTCATTGACGATTACACAGGTTTCATCAACATTGTTCCCATAGCACGCAAGAGTGATGTTACTGTACAGTTCAAGTTGCATCATGTGTGGATGGAAAGGAAGTTTGGGTGCACTGTCAAGAGAGTCCACAGCGACAACGGAGGAGAGTATGTTGCTCTGAGGCCCTCCCTGGAAGAGAACGGCATCGAGCACACCACCTCGCCCCCCTACTCCCCCAATCAGAACGGACTTGCTGAGCGGACCAACCGCACTATTGTCGAATGTTCACGGACGATGATGGAACATGCATCGCTGCCCAAGGCTTTCTGGGCTGAAGCCGTTGTGCATGCAGCAAAGATCCGTAATCAATTCTCTTGTCCCAGGAATCTATGAGTGACATCGCACGAGCTTATGACGGGTGAGAAACCTAACGTTGCCTACATCAGAGTCTTTGGATGCTTAGGTTGGTATCATATCCCCAAGGAACTTCGAACGAAGTTGGATTCAAAGTCGCAACTCGGGATTGTTATCGGCTGTTTCGAAAACAGCCAGTATAAGCTTTGGATACCTTCTCGCAATGTTGCTGTCATATCGAGAGGTGTGACCATCGTGGAGGACAAGTATCCTGCACAAGCGTTGAGCCAGGACGCTAATACTGCACCGTTGTTGCTACCTGATGAGAATTCCGAGGCTTCGAAGGTCACACATACCCCAATCCAGACTACCTCGGTGGATAGAACGCGTCTGTCTACGCTACATGAGAACCCTTGTCCTAACAGAGAAGTCCATCAGATACACGAACAAGAGCATCCTATTGACCCGAACATCCAGGATGCCATCACGTATGTTCCTCCACTCATGGATAACAGTCACGAGACAGAGGATGCCGAGCAAGATGAAGGGGAGTCCTCAGGGTCTAGGTATCCACGACGTGAACGACGGCAGACTTCCTACTACACCCCCGGTTCAGCCAGTGTGGCAAGAGCATTTTTGGCAGTCGAAGCTAGGATGCCGGATCCTTCGACTGTCCGGGAAGCTCTATCGCAGAGCGACTCTGAAGATTGGAAAACTGCAATTGATTCGGAGTTGAAATCATTGAGGCAGCACGAGACTTGGGAAATTGTTGCTACTCCAGAGGGGGTGAGGCCTTTGTCAACAAGATTTGTTTTTATCCGCAAGTACGACGAGAGCGGAAGAGTTATTAGGCACAAAGCAAGACTTGTAGTTCGAGGTTTCCTTCAAGGGAACGTAGATCCAACTTTCTCACCAGTGATAGACTTTACGACTATTCGCACTTGTCTTGCAGTTGCAGTCAAGAGGGGGTACATGATCGAGCAAATGGATATCAAGACTGCCTTCCTCCATGGCAAGATTGACAGCGATGTGTACGTGAAATGTCCCGAAGGGCTTTCGCTGTGTAAGAAAGGTCAAGCCCTCAAGCTTCGAAGGGGGCTCTACGGGCTTAAGCAGGCACCAAGACTTTGGCATGACAAGTGGGAATCGGTCATGAAGGCGATGGGTTCTGAGAAATAGCTCTCTGATGATTGCGTCTACTGTCGTGGAAGTGTTTGGCTGTTGCTGTATGTAGATGACATCATACTTCTTAGTCTGAGAATGAATGACGCTCAATGTGTGAAGCAGGACCTCATGAGACATCTGGATGTTAAAGATTTGGGTTCACTCAGGTCGTTTTTGGGTGTTCTGTTTGGACGAGACTCTGAGGGCGCGTGGTTGTCGCAGCAACACCACATCAGACAAGTGCTACATCGGTTTGGTATGTTAAACTGCAAGCCTGTTGCGACTCCTATGTGTTCGGGAGCGCTCAAGGATATCTCTGAAGGTGGAGGGGTACACGAGGACTGTGCAACTTATCAAGAATTACTGGGATGCTTGCTATTCCTTTCCACCCGCACTCGCCCGGACATTACTTCTGCCGTATCAATCCTTTGTCGGTACTCGTCTGCTCCGACGGAAATACACTGGACTTGTCTCAAGCGTATTCTTCGATATCTTCAAGGGACGAAGCGTCATGCACTACGCTTACATTCAGGAAACCAAGAGAAACTGGTTGCATTTTGTGACGCGGACTGGGCTGGGGACCGCATTGATAGACGCTCAACAACAGGTGTCTTGTTTCAATTTGGTCAGAGTACAGTTGCTTGGAAGGCGCTCAGGCAAACTTCCGTGGCCCTCTCCACGACCGAGGCCGAGTTCCTGTCTTTGAGTGAAGGAACCAAGATGGTGCTTTGGTTGCGCAGCTTGCTTCGAGAGATGGACTGTACTCAGAATG